GAGTGGTATATATGTGGTATATATGCCATGTACTTCACATACATTATTTCCAATTTCCCCAACAATTCTAAAAACCATTATCTCTATTTTACAGCTGAGGCAACTGAGGACCGAAGAGATTAATATGCCTAGAGTGAGAAGCCTATAAGTTACTGAATGAGTATTCCAGATAAATTTGTCTGGTCCCCAAGTCCACGCTTTTCCTACTGTCCCATCCTGCTTCCCTTCTATTGGAATCTAACATCTGAACCCACACTTGTGCAGTAGCCTTTGCTCAGACTGTAGCTCTGTGACCTTTCTGCAGCATTGGACACTTTTTTCTAAATTACTCTCCTTGTTTGGCTTTATCCAACTTCTCTTGTAACCTTCCAAATCACATCTTCTGTCTCGATTTTTGGCCTTTCATCGCCCTATGTGTTTTATCTTTTGTCTTTCATGCTGGCTCTAGACTACTGAAAAGCAACATTAGTCCGTATGAGATTTGAATTGCAGATAGATGTACCCTATGAGTAAGGATTCAAAAGCTGCTCTTTGGGTGTTATGTGTTAAAATTTTTCAATGCATGCCCTCTGACCAAGACAGCTAACTTCTAGGAATGTATGCTGAGAGAAAACATATGTATATGCAAAGAAGTATAGAAAAGAATAATCTCTGTAGCATTATAACTAACAGCAAAACTTTAGAAATGGTCCAAATGTTAACCAATAGTGGCTAAGTTAAAGAATGTATGCTGCAGCTATATGTGAAACAATATGTCCTCTTTAAAAGAGGAGAGTATAGATAATAAATACACATACATGGATAATATATACACATATATACAGATATCGAAAAATATCTATATTTAATGACATTGAAAAATCATAGTGTTCATGAAGCAACAGTGAATTATTCCATTAGCATATTTAAAACTAATCCGGCCGGGGGCGGTGGCTCACCCCTGTAATCCCAACACTTTGGGAGGCCGAGGTGGGCAGATCATGAGGTCAGGAGATCGAGACCATCCTGGCTAACATGGTGAAACCCCGTCTCTGCTAAAAATACAAAAAATTAGCCGGGCGTGGTGGTGGGCACCTGTAGTCCCAGCTCCTCAGGAGGCTGAGGCAGGAGAATGGCGTGAATCTGGGAGGCAGAGCTTGCAGTGAGCTGAGATTGCTCGTATATGCACCCCAGCAGGGGCGACAGAGCCAGACTCCGTCTCAAAAAAAAAAAAAAACACAAAACCAAAAACAAAAATCCATACATAAAATGTCAACTAGGATGTAGAACTAGCTACTAAGTGTAAAAAGGTTGCTCGTCACCCTTCTCCACAGTCTCCTTCAGTGATTGCATCCATTTCCACAATCATCTTAATGCAAATCCTGTTCTGACCTCATGCCCATGTCCACGACTGGAGCATGCCCAGTAGACAGCTCCTTCTGGATGTCTGTTTTCAGTCATCTTTTTCCCTCCCAAATCTGCTCTCTCTCCTATTCCTATTAAAGGCATCACCCTTGTTTTGGTTCACACAGTCAACTAAAGCAAGGTCATTGCCTTCTTCCATCCTTCCATCTTCAGTTCTACATCCAATCAGTTACCAACTGTGATGGTTTATTTTATGTGTCAAATTGACTGGACCACGTAGTGCCCAGACATTTCGTTAAACATTATTATGGGTGTGTCTGTGCAGGTGTTTTCTCAGTTGAAGACCTGAATAGAACAAAAAGAGTAAGTAAGGGCCGGGCACGGTGGCTCGCCTGTAATCCCAGCACTTTGGGAGGCCGAGGCGGGCAGATCACGAGGTCAGGCGATTGAGACCATCCTGGCTAACATGGTGAAACCCCGTCTCTACTAAAAATACAAAAAATTAGCCTGGCGTGGTGGCGGGCACCTGTAGTCCCAGCTCCTCGTGAGGCTGAGGCAGGAGAATGGCGTGAACCTGGGAGGCACAGCTTGCAGTGACCCAAGATCTCACTGCACTCCAGCCTGGGCAACAGAGCGAGACTCTGTCTCAAATAAATAAATAAATAAATAATAAAAAATTAGCTGGGCAAGGTGGCTCATGTCTGTAATCCCAGCTACTCAGGATGAGGCAGGAGAATCACTTGAACCTGGGAGGTGGAGGATAGGCACTCCAGCCTAAGCGAGACTCAATCTCAAAAATAATTAATTAAACAATTAATTTTTTTAAAAAAAAAAGACTGAGTAAGTGGGAACTGCCTCTGCCTCACTGCCTTTACCTGGGACATTGGTCTTTTTTGGCCTTCAGACTCAAGCTGAACATGACTCTTCCTGGGTCTTGAGTCTGTTGGTTTTCAGACTGGAACTTACACCTCTGGCTCTCCTGCGCCTCCAGCTTGCTGACTGTGGATCTTGGGGGCAGTCTCCATAATTGTGTGAGCCAGTTCCTTGTAAATGTCTCTCTCTTTCTCAATCTCTCTCTCTCTCTCTTAATCTCTCTTTCTCTCTCTCTCTCCCTCCCCCTCTCTCTCTTTTCTGTTGGTACTGTTTCTCTGGAAAACACTGACTAACACACCAATCCTCCAGATTCTTCTCTTTGGCATGGCCAGCTCCTTCCTCTTTTCTATTTTGACTGACATTCACCTAGCTCAGGATATTCTTCCCTGTGGCTGGACCATCACCATAGATCCCTGATAGCTCCCTGTCTCCTGCATCTCTTGTTTTTCAGCCTTCATTCTCATCACTATATGGTTAACCTTCCAAAAGCCCAATTCTAATCACAAAAATTTTAAAGTCTTCATTGTAAGAAAAACAATCCAAAATCCTTGGATAATGTTCAAAGTCCCCTATGATTCAGCCACAGCTAAGTTTTCCAGCCCTTTACCCTACTTCCCCTACTGTTAGGGTAACTGTACTATATATGTCATTTCCCTACATTAATGCGTTTGTTCACATTCTCCTCTAGCTAACCCCTAACCCTCCTCTGTCCTATAGTCACTGCCTATCCAAAATCTTATCCTTCATTGAGGTGCAGCTCAAATTTGATCTTCACTTAAAGCCTTTCACCGTATTCCTAAGGTGGAAGAGTCTCTTTCCTTCCTTTAAGTTCATAGCTTTTCTCTTCTATGTTTTTCAAATTCTGGTTTGTATTATACTTATTTGTACACCTCTTCTTTTCCCTTATCCTGGAGGATAAAGGCTGTATCTATTTCATCTTTATATCCCCCAAGGCCTAATATAGTGCTTCTATTGTTCACCTAAATGAATAATAAATGAATATTCTCTCAAGTGAAATGAAATTTGAAAGTTAAACATGGCATGGAAACCTGACACAATACCTCATGATGATTTTAAAATACAAATAATACTTGGATTATCCATTTGTGGCAACTACCAAGAAAGTACTATTTTAAAAGCTGTCTGCAGTATGTGCAAGTTGCTGTAGGCAAGTATTTCTTAGTGCTACATGTTAGTTAGAATCACCTGGAGAGTTTTCAAATACTACCCATGCCCAGTCCCACTCCAGACCAATCACATCAGAAGCTCTGAGGGTGAGTTCTGGGCACTAATTCTCTTTTAAACCTTCCCAGGTAATTCTAACGTGCAGTCAGTTGAAAACTATGGCTGTAGGGCATGGCAGCTGCATTGATCTCAGTTTGTGTATTGGTATGGGCAGGAATGAACTTCCGATAAAGATACTTTAGTTGATCTTCGGTTGCACAAAGGCAAGGCAAGGCTTATTAAGCAACTGCAAAATGATGCCACTAACTAACATTTGTTGAGCACTTGTTAATCCTTATGATACCCTATGAAGTAAGCACGGTTATTGGCTACCTTTTATAAGTGAGGTATCTACGGCTCAGACAAGTACTGTAATTTACCCGGATGAGTAAGTAGGGTAGCCAAGATGTGAAGACATGAACCCAGATACACAGGCTTCAGAACAAGAGTACAGAAGATGTGAAACTCCAGTGACTTGGGAGTGTGTGGGTCAGTTGCCAGGGGGAGGTACATGTATGCACACATGTGTGTGGAGCTTTTTCTATAAAGGCCAACCAAAGGGATTGGAGGGGCATGGGATTGGGGGTTGGAGAAGAAAAGGAAGCAAAAGACAACTCTAATATAAGAAAAGAGAGGTTTTGGAGACATGGTGGCTGACTGAGTCCAAGCAGAGAAAATGTCAATCAGGGACTCTCGGGAGACGGTAGAGTCCATGGGTTTTAGGACTCAGTAAATTATGCCAAGTCATAAAGTGTTCTTTTTCTGTCTTGTAAGTCCCTTATGATAATCCCCAGACTTCTGCTAAGTTGGGGAAGTGCCCACAGTGGGGTCGGAGCAGCAGAAGGGTGCTGGGCTCTCCATATGGTTTCTCCCTGAGGCCAAAGTGCTGGGCACTGCTAGTCCAGAATCTCAGAGTGTCCGGTAGCCAAGCAAATGTGGAGTGAGGAGCCAAACAATGAGAGCTAGGACAGGGTGGACTGAACAGAAAAGGTCCTGAGATCAAATCCCTTTCTCTCAAATATGACAGAAGTAGCAGCCTCTGAATGGAAGGGAAACTGGACCCCGCTCTCCAGAGACAGTGCCCATCCGGAGGGTCTCCTGTGCTGCACTGTGCCATTGTCACTGAGACACAAATATAAATGGAAACTGTAAATATGGGCTTGGGAGATGAGGTGGCTTGTTTCCAAGCCATACTCTACTCCACTTCTCGAAGGCCTCACCAGAGAGGAGAGATTCTTCTCATGTTTGAGTGGGTTTATATGCATGGTATGGTGGAAGGGTGTTTGGAGTCAAAAACCTCTATGATTGAACTGAAGATACATTTACCTTCTTTGGATCTCAGTTTCTCTATCTGCAAAATGGAAAAAAAATATTGACCTCACATGTTTACTGTGGAAATTAACTGAGAAGACCACAGAAGGCGGCTGGCACAGGATGTGAGCCTTGCAGGGGCTCCGCTGAGGTCACTTTACTTGCTTCCTTAGCCCTGGCCACCTAACCCTGCGCCTACACTAGGTCCCAATACTGCCAGGGATGACCCTTGGGAAGTCGGATCCTACCTTTGGTTAGGGAGTGAATCCCGAGCTTCACTTGGGAGAAGTTGCCACTTCCGATTTCCCCTCGAATTCGGTAGAAGCCTATCCGTTTCCCCAGAGTGATCTCCCTCACCACCTTCTCATCTTGGGACATGTCCTGTGTCAGTTTCTCGAAGGGCGTCAGCTGGCGGGGCTGTCCTTCCTCGCCCTCCTTGCTGCTCTCGGCCTGACAGCCACTTTCTACGCTGTCGCGCCGATCCCATCGGGCATAGTGGGGGTTCACCAGGCCGCCTCCATTTGTATACACTGCAGTCATCGTCCACGGGGGCTCACGTCTCCATCTCAGCAAAGAGCCACCGATCAAGGGCAGGTTGTGCAGGAGCAGAAGAGGCTCAGAGGGTGGGAGATGCCAACTGAGGACAGCAGGTGCCCAGGGTTCAAGAGAGTTTTCCTGAGAGCTGAGCAGCCGCCCTCTCGGGTTTAGTGAGAGGAGGGCAGTGAACGTGGTAGCTGAGTCTGCCCAGCCCAGCCAGGAGCTGCTCACCTCACTCAAGTCATTTCCCACCTTCCCTCACATTGAACTTGCAAGCTCTAGCTGTACTATTAGGCACACGTTACATACCCACTGCCCTGATGGGACTCCAGGAACTTTCTGGCCAGACGTGGAGTCTGATGCTTTGTGGTAGGTGGCTGTGCCCCAGGACAAAGGCTTCTGTTTGCTATTCCCCTTGATGGCCAGAGAATCTTGCACTCTGGTGTGTAAATGCCCCTGGGAGGACCTCAAGACCCTGCTGTGGGAGCTCATCTCTGACCTTCATTTCGTGCTTCTCTTGCTGTCAAGCCGCAGGGCCCTGGAGACCTAATAATCTGAACCCCGGGAAAGAAGAAACTTGCAAATAAGCCTTCTGGTCACACAGGCAGCCAGAGAAGGATTTAATCCCTGCAATGTCACTTTAGCTGGCCTTTATTTAGATGAGCCTTCCTCTAAGCCGTGAGCTGTCTCGAAAATTTGGCTTGTTCAACCTAAGAATAAAGAGTAAGAAAATTATTAGCCTATGCTAATGTACTGTACAGGATTTATAATGAATGTGAAACTGCTTTGTAAGCATTGATCTAAAAGTACTCCACAAATTTAAGTTATGACTCATATCAGTAGTAGATGCTTGATTACACGTGATCTAGTAAGAAGAAAAGAGTATATACACATACCTCTCAACCTACATTTTAGAAAAGCCCCTAGGGTCTGTACATATTTCCAGCAAAACAATTTTTCTATTTCTTAAAGTTTAAGAAAATATGCATATTGCCTTGTGTTGCTTTAAAACCAAATTTTAAAAGTAATATGATAGCAATGATGACAAAGATTCTGGATTACTATTGGTTTTCAAAATTTCTCATATGTATTCAAATAATAATATTTTATCTCCTTTACTACTTTCTGTTCTTGTACAACTTGTCCTATACTAGTTGCTTCCATTCTTTCTTTCTATGTCATTCTATGATAAAGGCTGATTTTTCCTCCTACATTTACTTTTTGAATTTTTCTGAGCAGGTGTCAGTGTCTAGGCCCAGCACTTTATTTTGAAGATGTGGAAAAGGAGGGTTTATAGCATTGCTGGTGATAAGAAATGCTGCCCAGCTACGATGTCTTCCGGATTTTTTTCTGCACTCTCCAGCAGGAAATACACTCTTCCTCTCTGAATTCCCACAGCACTTCGTGCACTTTCCAATATGTCCCATCTCAATGAAGGTGGGAACTGGTTTTGACTCATATGTATGTCTTGCTCTCCTCCTCTCTCCTTCAAAATGGAGTATAAGTTCTTACATATAAAAGTGTTTACTAAGAAAATGTGTGTTAAACTTGATTTTTGGAGTTGAGCATTCCAAACCAAAAATTTGACTGAAAATGTGAGAGACTGCCTTGGATGTATGGATTTCCAACTCTGCTCAATAATATCACATTATTACAATTAAGCATAAATAAGACTTCCTAACTTTATACTTAAGACTAAGTAGGGGGTTGCCAAATAAACATAAATAAGGGAAGTAAAAAGGAGGTTGATGCCCCGTACTGCTCCTATTTCTGGATAGGGAGAAAGGAATCTGGAAGAAGGATGAAGAACATAGGCTTAAAAGGGACCAGGTATCAGTAACTAAGCACATCTCTAGGTTAGAGACTGATTAGGATGTTTTTTTAAAAACATTTTTAAGATAAAGGTCCCCTTAGCAGGCTGTGGTGGTATACCCCTTAGCAGGGTATATGCCTGTAGTCTCAGCTACACCTACAGACTGAGGTGGGAGGATGGCTTGAGCCCAGGAAGTAGAGGTTGCAGTGAGCTGACATCAAGCCACTGTACTCCAGCCTGGACGACAAAGCCGGACCCTGTCTCAAAAAAAAAACAAAACAAAACAGAAAAGGTAAAGGTTCTTAATTAGAGTGAAGAAAATCTAAGTCACTGATTCTTCTTTATTTTCTTTACCGACGTCTACCTCCCAAAGTGTGGGGATTACAGGTGTGAACCACTGTACTTAGCCAAAATCACTGATTCTTAATCATCCTGAGGTCACAGACTCCTTTGAGATGCTAACAAAATCTGTGACTCTATCCCCAGGGAAAAAAAATAATCCTCACCCATACAATTTGCATCCGATTTTAAGATGACATTCTGAAACCCATCAGGTTAAGAATCTCTGTGAAGGCCAAGTGGCACTAGATCTCCCCAGATTCCTGGCAGAAGAACACCATGTAGCTTATGACAGACTAGAATGAAGTAGTAATTCTGCAAGAAACTTTAGCTTAACCTAAGGCAAAAGAAAATATGGATTTTCCATAGAATGTAGTACTTGATCACTTTGTGTTCTAACAGACTCTGTGAAGAACTTACTGGCTTTGTGTCCTCATTACCATGCTGTGCTTGTCACTAATGTACTTGGACCACAAAAAAGCACCAGGAGGGCGCCAGGTACAGTGGCTCACACCTGTAATCCCAACACTTTGGGAGCCCAAGGCGGGTGGATCACCTGAGGTCAGGAGTTTGAGACCAGCCTGGACAACATGGAGGAACCCTATCTGTACTAAAGATACATAAATTATCCGGGCATGGTGGCACACACCTGTAATCCCAGCTACTCGGGAGGCTGAGGCAGGAGAATTGCTGGAACCCAGGAGGCAGAAGTTGCAGTGAGCTGAGATCGTGCCATTGCACTCCAGTCTGGGCAACAAGAGTGAAACTCTGTCTCAAAAACAAAAAGAAAAAGGCACCAGGTGAGCAGGAACCTGTGCTTTACTCTTCCCTCTGTCTCTGGGAGTTCTGCACAGTAGCTGATAAAAGTTTGTTGAAGAAGGAATGAACTAATTTACCAACTAACCCACCATTACACTTAGGTATGAGTTAGTAGAGGCAAATATTTTTATTTTTTAACTACTAACACTATCCCAGAATTTAATCGTCTCAGACAGCTTATTTCAGTCCCTATTTCTAAGATTTGGGCTACCCTTTACTAGCTATTAGAATTCCTGGCCCCATCTTCTTGTGGAGGTAAAAGCTTAGTCCAAAGTCCATCATCCCCCTGAGAATTGTGACACAACTGCTTAGAAATGCAAGTCTCCCCCATCCCTGCCACTTTGGAAGAATCAGCTCCCCACAGGCACCCGGGCCTCCTGCCTCCCTCTGCATCTGCTCCCCTCCATCTCCTGCCCAGCTGCTGGTTCAGGGCTTTTTCTCTGCTTTCCTGTTCCCCAACTTTCCTGATTTGGGCTCTATATCCTGAGCTCTATTCAGGCCCTGGGATTTACAGTAGAGTTTGAGACTTCAGGTGCCTCCCAGGAATTCCTCTCCCTCCCTTCCCAATTCAGCAGAGAGGGAGGGCTCAGATACAATTGCCAAATATGATCAGTCTCTGTCTTGAATTACGTACCCTACACCTACAAATGAAACTTCTTGCAAAACGGTCTTGAACCGATTGTCTTACCTTAGTGGTCGAGGAGACAGTTAATCTTCCATTTAGATCAGATAAAGCGTTTTTGTTACACTTTTACAGATGTTGCTGTGGTTTGCATTGAGGATGAATTGCAACTTGGGACAGCTAGCAAACCAATTGGGGGAAAAGCCAAACGCCTATCTCACTCCTACTTCAAAATAAGTTCCAAATAAATCATCTAAGTAAATGTAAAATAAACAAAAAAATGAAATACTAGAAAAAAATCAGAATTTTTTTTATGATCTCAGTGAAGGTCGTAAAAGAAAACATTGAATTTGACTACATAAAGCTGTAATTTTCTGTTTGCCCAAAAGTATCATAAACAAACAAGCAAAAATCAAATGATAACCTTATAGGGAAAGCTTTCCAACAAATATAATAAACAAATAAAATATAAACAATTTTCTAAATAAAGAATTTTAGAAATTGATTTTTAAAATACCAATATCCAGCCAGGCGTGGTGGCTCGCACCTGTAATCCCAGCACTTTGGGAGGCTGAGGTGGGGGATCACGAAGTCAAGAGATCGAGACCACCCTGGCCAATATGGTGAAACCTCATCTCTACTAAAAATACAAAATATTATATTTTGGGCGTGGTGGTGCACACCTGTAGTCCCAGCTACTCAGGAGGCTGAGGCAGGAGAATCACTTGAACCCAGGAGGCGGAGGCGAGACAGTGCCGAATGCCGAGATAGCACAACTGCACTCCAACCTAAAGGCAGAGTGAGATTCCGTCTCAAAAAAAAGAAAAGAAAAATACCAATATCCTCCCAAAAAAGAAAAATGGTAAAGAACATGAGCAGACATTTCACAGAAAATACAAATGATTCCATAATATATAAAAATATACTCAACCCTATAATTAAAGAAATACCCATAAACTACACTGAAACTAGATTTTTCACATATTAAATTTGAAAGCTGCAAAAAAATTTTGATAGTGCACTGGTGAGAGATAGTATGAGGAAACAGGAATTCTCATTCATTGTTACTGGAAGTATAAATTGGTACAATTGCTTGGAAGGAAATTTGGCTATAACTATTAATTACAAGTGTATGTGTTCTTTGCTTCAACAATTCTACTTCTAGAATTTTTCTTTGCACACATATGCAAAGATGTGTATTTCTGACAAAAAGATGGATGTGAAAAAGAATGAGTTACAGTATCCAAGATATACAGTTAAGAGGTGGGAAGAGTGTGTATAAAATGATAATTAGGAGTGTAAGAAAGGGCCAGTCGCGGTGGCTCATGGCTGTAATACCAGCACTTTGGGAGGCTGAGGTGGGTGGATCATTTGAGCTCAGGAGTTTGAGACTAACCTGACCAACATGGTGAAACCCCGTTTCCACTAAAAATACAAAGAAATTAGCTGGGCATGGTGGCACACACCTGTAATCCCAGCTACTGAGGCAGGAGAATCGCTTGAGCCCAGGAGGCGGAGGTTGCAGTGAGCCAAGATCACGCCACTGCACTCCAGGCTGGGCGACAGTGACTCCATCTCAAAAAAAAAAAAAAAGTGTAAGACAGCGGAGGGAATCCCTAAAAACAGGTAGAGTTATTGCATTTGGTGAAGGGACTTGTTGGACAGGGGAATGGAGTGGAAAAAAACATATAGTTTTTACTGCTTACTTTTTCATATGATTTACATTTTTTTCATGTGCGTATATTTACCTTTAAAAAGAAAACAGGCTGGGTGTGGTGGCTCACACCTATAATCCCAGCACTTTGGGAGGCCGAGACGGGAGAATGGCTTGAGTCCAGGAGCTCAAGACCAGTCTGGGCAACACAGTGAGATCCCATCTCTCCAAAAAAAAAACCAAAGAAAATTAGCTGAGTGGCACACACCTATAGTCCCAGGTACTTAAGAGGCCAAAGTGGGAGAATCACTTGAACCTGGGAAGTCAAGACTGCAGTGAGCCAAGATCACACCACTGCACTTCAGCCTAGGCAACAGAGCAAGACTCTGTCTCAAAGAAAGAAAAAAAGAAAAGAAAAAGGAAGCAATTAAAAACATTTAATGTGTTGCCACCTTACATAGTTGGTGTACAATAAGTTTGCTTTACTTTTGGTTACACAGGGAAATTATCATACCTGATTCTCTAATATCTAATGGATTGCTTTTAAAATAAAAAGATAATTCAGGACTTCTGGTGAAATATAAATTTAATGATCTCATTTATTTCTACTTTATTCCAAAAACCAAAAAACCTAAAAATGACAAAATAAGAGGAGGAAAGGTACAAACCCATGAGGATAAAAAGAATAAGAGAGGAGGCCAGGCACGGTGGATCACCTGTCAGGAGTTCAAGACCAGCCTGACCAACATGGTGAAACCCCGTCTCTACTAAAAATACAAAAAATTAGCCCAGCATGATGGCGCACGCCTGTAATCCCAGCTACTCAGAAGGCTGAGGCAGGAGAATCGCTTGAACCCAGGAAGCGGAGGTTGCAGTGAGCCAAGATCACGCCATTGCACTCCAGCCTGGGCAACAAGAGTGAAACTCCAACTTAAAAAAAAAAAAAAAAAGGCCGGGCGCGGTGGCTCATGCCTGTAATCTCAACACTTTGGGAGGCCGAGGCAGACGGATCATGAAGTCAGGAGTTCGAGACCAGCTTGGCCAACACAGTGAAACTCCGACTCTACTAAAAATACAAAAAAATTAGCCCGGCATGGTGGCGGGCGCCTGTAATTCCAGCTACTCAGAAGGCTGAGGCAGGAGAATCGCTTGAACCCGGGAAGTGGAGGTTGTAGTGAGCCAAGATTGTGCCATTGCACTCCAGCCTGGGCAACAAGAGTGAAACTCCAACTTAAAAAAATAAATAAAAATAAGAGATGAGATAGCAGCAGAGAAATGTCAGTACGTTTTGGGGGAGATGGAGAGATGAAAAGAAAATTAATGATAAGCAATTTGCAAAGACAAGGAAGAAAACTGCAACCTAAATTCATACATAAGGGCATACCAATGAGATTCACCTTTCTGAGTGCTCAAGAAGGCTTCAAACTATAAGAGACCAAGTACCTCAAAGGTTAGAGGAATAAAGCAGGATCAAAATCATGGAAATTGTTTGAAGGTAGAGCAGTGAGACCCTCCCCCCACCCCCACCAGCCTTTCCCTCCTCAAAGATAGGTTGTTACTTTCTCTACCCCACCCCAGCTCAGGAACACAAGGCACAGGTCAGATGATTAGGCAAAAGTCTGTGTTGTACAAACCTGCACGTTATGCACATGTATCCTAGAACTTAAAGTATAATAACAATAAAAAAAAAATTCAGACTTCTAGTCACAAAAAAAAAAAAAAAAGAAATAAAATTGCATCTTTACTGAACATAAAAAAAAAAAAAGTCTGTGTTGTAGAATCCCTCATTCTCTTCTCCTTGCACTCTCGGCTTCCAGAATGGAGGAAAACAAGCATAAAAACCTCGAGGCTGGCTACTCCTCTTTTGGATAGACTAACTCAAGAGAAAAGACTTTCTGAAAGCTACGTTTGAAAGTTCTCCATCAAAAAAGCCACATAGCCATCTACGGCACAATCCTCCAGGTGCCAGTTTCATGCACACGCAGGGAGCTTCCAACCAAGTTTCAGTGCCTTCTGCTTAGAATGAATGAATGAATAAATGTTCAGTCAAGAGGCATGAGACATCTGAGGAAAGGCTTCAAAATGAGAGAAAGAAACCCTGCTCAACCTAAACAACAACCTCTACAACAAAAAGGAACTTGAAGGAAATGGAGAGCCATGAGGAAGCAGAAGATAAAAGATAAGGTATTGGACCCATAAAACCAGAAAAAATGCTTAAAAAAAAAAAAAAAAATTTAAAGACAATTCAGACAACAAGAAAGAGCTGTAGAGCTGTCTTGGAAATTAAAGAATTAAACTGAAGAATTGTGAAAGAAAAATCTAGAAAAGATAAGCAATATAGAAGACATGAAAACTGGGTAATCAATTCAGAAAGTCCAACATCTAATTATTAGAATTTCCCATTACACTATTATGCTCCCAATAAAGTAAAACATATTGTTTCTATTGTACCTGAATTGCCAGCGAATCTCAGAAATTTAAAAAATAGTACAGTGAGAAAAAACTCTGAATTCTCACACATTCTAATGGAATAAAAAAGTAGAAGGAAAAAAGCTAAAAGAAAAGATAAATCCTGTTTGGGTGTGTGCATCTATGGGTATTTAAAAATTCATTCTTATTTTGCATAATTTTTTTCCTAGAGATTTTCCTTAGAAATCTAGAAATAGGAGTTCTGAGCACAGGTTGTGGGGTTGCTCTAAATAGTATATATTTTTGACTACTTTCTAGTAGAGTCCAAAACATCAAGCTTCATCATGTTAAAAGCAAAGCAAATAATGGAAGTGATCACACGTACCTAATTGAAAACCAAATTTCAGATGTAAGTAAGTTTTTTTGTGTTGTTCTTTTGCCTTTTGCCCTTTAGATTTTGCCCGATTTTTATGGACTTTAATGAGAGCTTAGAAACTCAACCAGACCAAATTATGGAGTCACATCACTGCAGATCAAAGCCTCTGGAGGAGGTAAAATGGTCCTTAATTATTAGCTTGCTGTTGCTATATAGCAATCCTTTAAATAAGATGAAAGAAAACAGACCTTACTTGGTAATTCATTTTCTTGACTTATAACCCACTGTAAAAATAGTATCAATGAAAACCATCTCACCTTTGTTCTCTCTGTCTGAGTTTAACTGATAAAACTTCTGGGCAAGGCTCTTAGGCAACCTTTTCATTGGTTGGCAAGGTCAGGCATTGGTTTCCTTGAAAGAAAAGCTGAGTTTTCTCTGTGTGTGGCAACAAGGTTCAAGACAGCCAGTCCTCAGTTATAATCTTTCTTGGGCAGGTGCACCTTCAGGGAGAATAATTAGCAAATTCATCTCATTTGAAAGTTTATTTTACCATTTTGAAATCATTTGCATCATCTTTGCTTTTACCTCAGCTCTTTATTTCTCAACACACATGTCAAGATTACCATGCGGTGCAGTGGGGGAAATTCCAAAGCAAATGGAAAAGCAGTCAGTGTGGGCTGGTTTCTAGGACAGTAGTTCTGCTCTGTGACACCATCTCTCCCCTACTTGGTCTCAGAGGGAGGACCTCAGCCCAGGTCTACCCCCATCCAGTTCGCACCCAGCATCCAGGGACAGTCCATCTAGTCTGATGGGTTTACGTCAGCTCTTCCCATATATACTTCTACCGCACTTGAGGATCCCTTTGCCATCAACGCCACAGACTCAAACGCCTAGGAGAACAGTGCAGGAGTTCTGTCAGTGACCAAGTGCAGTGCCTATGCCTGGTGTGGTAAGGCAGCCCTTGCTCAGCTCTAGCCAGGGCAGCCATGCCAAAATGCAGGTTTACTTTTGCCAGATCTTATAATTCTTGAAAAGAAACTGGCAATTAAGAATTTTTTGGTAAACTCTCTTAAATTTTTATTTCCCAGTTGTTTTTTTATTTAGAGGCAGGGTCTCACTATGTTGCCCAGGCTGGTCTTGAACTCTTGGTCTCAAGAAATCCTTCTGCCTCAGCCTCCCTGTAGCTAGGATTAGAGGTGCAATCCACCCACCATGCCTGGTAACTCAATTTTTTGTATGTTTATGTTTTTTTGGTGGTTTTCAAATTTTGTTTTGTTTTTGGTTTGACACAGGATTTCACTTTGTCACCCAAGTTGGAGTGCAGTACTGCAATCACAGCTCACTGCAGCCTTGACATCCATTGCTCAGGTGTTTCTCCCACCTCAGCCTCCTGAGTAGCTGGGACTACTGGTATACACTACCATGACTGTTATTTTTTGTAAAGACAGGGTTTTGCCATGTTGCCCAGGCTGGTCTGCAACTCCTGGTCTCAAGTAATCCACCTGCCTTGGCCTCCCAAAGTGGCTGGGATTATAGGCATGAGCAACCATACCCATCAACTGTCAATTTTTAAAGTGTAGATTAAATACTTTTAAAACACTGGCCAAATGAAACTGAAGTGTCAGGCTGGATTTGGCCTCTAGGTTGGTCATTTCCAGGCTCTGTTCTAGGTTTCATGGGAGAATCATCCAAAAAAAAAAAAGATGGGGAGGGAATAGTTCATAGGTCCATAGTCAAATACATCTGGAACTGCTGCACATTATACCCCTCTTAGATATTTGCATTAGTACCTTACAGTCTTGTAGTTTTAAAACCACATGCACAAACAAATGTCTGTTTAATTCAGTGTTCCCCAAGTTTATTTAACCATCTAATTCATCCTTGTTGAATACATTTTTGTCATTGACATTTTCCTTATGACTCTAACCTCAGAGGTGGACAAAGTTGTCAAACATCTGTAAGAATTTAGGTCCCAACAGAAAGATTATGAAAATGATTCAGTATAGAATGAAACAGAAAATAGATAGTTGAGTTTAATCCACCAATGCAGCACATGAGGTAGGAGCTACCCACCTGTGGGGTCTGGGATGACACAGTAATAGTTTGACAATTATCTCTTAACCTTGGAAAGATTTAGTGTTAAAAACAGAAATGCTTAAGAGACTCAAACCCTCCGGTATTAATATTTTTTGTCTTGATGAACTTGTATGAAATTTGTATTTCAATGTACTTGTTATGTGAAGAGAACTTGGCATATTAAAGTAACAAAATAGTTTTGTGACTCTAATTTAAAATGAAAAATCAGATAATTTAGATTTGTGATTTTAAGTTGAAGTTTTGTTGTTTTAAAATAGCACTGAATTAAATGTATTTAAAAGAGCTTAAGGTTCACCCTTGTCTATATGTTTAAATCATTATATTTGTAAGAATTACTAGTATTCTGGAAGCATTTTTGTTATCAAATAAAGTTTTTTAAAAGGAAATGAAACAAATTATAAATGCAGTTTAAAATGATTAAAAAGGTTTCATTAAGCTTTGAATGGGATCAAACATTAATCCTTAAAAATTATTGTCAGACAAAATAATATGTCTGGAATTTGCTTTAAAATAGGAGGCCGGGCATGGTGGCTCATGCCTGTTATCCCAACAGTTTGGCAGACCAAGGAGGGCAGATCATGTGAGGTCAGGAGTTTGAGACCAGCCTGGCCAACATGGCGAAACCCTGTCTCTACTAAAAATACAAAAATTAGCTTGGTGTGATGGCAGACGCCTGTAATCCCCACTACTCAGAAGGCTGAGGCAGGAGAATCGCTTGAACCCAGGAAGCAGAGGTTGCAGTGAGCCAAGATCACGCCACTGCACTCCAGCCTGGGTGACAGAGCAAGACTGTGTCAAAATAATACACAATAAATAAAATAAAATAAAATAAATTCCCATCCCCATGTTGGCCAGGCTGGTCTTCAACTCCTGACCTCAGTTGATCTGCCCACTTCAGCTTCCCAAAGTGCTGGGAATACAGGCGTGAACCACCATGCCTGGTCAATAGGAGTTTAAATTAAACAAGATTAGCCATGAGCTGGGAATTTTTTATGCTAGGTGATGAGTACATGAGGGTTGTAATGTCCTGTAAACAATTTTTGCGTATATCTAAAATTGCTTATAATACAATTTTTAAAATAATAGTTAAAATTAACCACATCAAAAAATATAATATTTGTAATAAAATGTTACTCATTTTACAACAGGCAACAGTGCTCATTAAATGCGTGCATAACTGACTGAATGAATGAATGACACGACATGACAACTCTGTAAAGTGAGGTATTGTCATTCCCTTTTCACAGATACCAAAACCAAAACCAAAACTAAAACCATCTGAAGTTAAGGCAGTTGCCCTGGATTTCTTGACTGTTAGCTCCATGAAGGTGAAAACTGTGTATTTAAGTAGACATTACAACATGTGAAACCATGAATTTCAAAGATCTGAAGAAGAGAATGAAGTCATGTCCCAATAGAAACATTGCAGAAACTTGGGTTTCTGCAATGAAAATTTTAATCTCATTTATAATTCATTCCCAAAACACAAATCTTCCCATCTTCTCTGAGGACCTATGCCTGCCTCCAAACAAAAGGGATAGCATTAAGATACTGAATGGAATCATGCATTGAATCACAAGAAGGTGGACCTGAGCAGCAAAACAAAATGTATTCTTCATCTGCTCAGAAATAACTAGTTTAAGAAACAGTGCGGGAACACTCATACCCGTTTGCAGCTCATGGTTTATTTTTAGGGCATTCAAAATATTTGTAAGTCAAAGCAGAAACTGCTCTTTTGCTGCCTTGTAACTTTATTCAGCTCTAATGCAGTGTGCACACTAAGAAGCAGAGAACACTTGAGTGATGCCCTTAGCGGATGTTAGAAAAACCTCGTTTTCTGTTTGAGCAAAACTCAAGAAAGTCTATCAGGGTAACAGGCCTCAAGGCTATGGCCATGGATAAGGAAAAGAGTGTTGTGGAACAAAAGCTCTTAGTTTTATCATCATAAAACGTTCCAGTGGATTTGAAACCTTTATTAAGAGCCTCTCATACCTGGTAAGTGATCCCTTCACACAGAATAAGCAATCCATCTGATAATTTTTAAATATTTACCCAGCACTGGAGGTAAGTGAGAGGTGGCAGTTGTTAGGGACAAGAGGAAGGTTAAGTTTTTTTTGTTTTTTTTTTTTTAAATGTCACTCTTGCCTTAGAAGAAGGAAAGAAAATAACAGGCAGGTTCTCTTACATCGACCACCTAAAAGTCGCACTGGAAGAAGCAACAACCTCTCCTCCTTGTCTCCACCATCTGCTCAGCAGCCGCGAAGCAGCAATCATGCGTGAGTGCATCTCCATCACATTGGCCAGGCTGATGTCCAGGTTGGCAATGCCTGCTGGGAGGCCTACTGCCTGGAACATGGCATCCAGCCCAACGGCCAGATGCCAAGTGACAAGACCACTCGGGGAGGAGATGACTCCTTCAACAGCTTCTTCAGTGAGACGGGCTCCGGCAAGCACGTGCCCAGGGCAGTGTTTCTAGATCTGGAACCCATGGTAATTGATGATGCAGTTTGCACTGGCACTTGCCACCAGCTCTCCCACCCTGAGCAGCTCATCACAGGCAAGGAAGATGCTGCCAGTAACTATGCCATTGGCCAGGAGATCACTGACCTCGTTTTGGACCAAATTTGTAAACTGGCTGACCAGTGCATGGTTCTCCAGGGCTTCTTGGTTTTCCACAGCTCTGGTGAAGGAATTGTTTCTGGGTTCACCTCCCTGCTCATGGAACAACTCCCAGTTGATGATGGCAAGAAGTCCAAGCTGGAGTTCTCCATTAACTCAGCACCCCAGGTTTCCACAGCTGTAGTTGAGTCCTACAACTCCATCCTCACCACCCAGTGAGGACATGACTGCCCTTGAGAAGGATTATAAGGAGGTTGGTGTGGATCCTGTTGAAGGAGAAGGTGAGGAAGAAAGAGAGGAATACTAAAGTAAAAATGTCACAAAGGTGCTGCTTTTACAGGGAAGCTTATTCTGTTTTAAACATTGAAAAGTTGTGGTCTGATCAGTTAATTTGTATGTAGCAGTGTATGCTCTTATATACAATTACTGACCTATGCTTTAAAACATGACTGCTTTTGCAGACCCAAACTGTCCATTTCTGTGATGGGTTTTGAATAAAGTATTCCCTGTCTTTAAAAATAATAATAATAATAATAATAAATATTTTTAAAAAGTGAACAAATATGCAGTAACAATCTGAACTAACAGAATAAATAATACTTTTTAAAAATCTTCATATATATGGAAATTTAATATGTAATAAAGATGGCATTTCAGACCACTGGGAAAAGGTAAATGATTCAATATTATGACGCTCGTAGGGGCTAAACCAAGAGACGGCTTTAGCTCTCGCACCACCACAAATTCTTCATTAGCCCTCATTCTTTGATATAGATAAGAAAATTATATATCTATAAATATAGATATATAGATATAGATAGATAAAGAGAGAAATAGAGTTTCACTCTGTCACTCAGGCAGTAATGAGAGGATGGCTCACTGCAGCCTTGAAATCCTGGACCCAAGCAATCCACCCAACTCAGTCTCCTGAGTAGCTGGAACAACAACCTTGTGCCAACATGCCCAGCTAATTTTTTATTTTTGTAGAGATGGAGTCTCACTATGTCGCCCAGGCTGGTGTTGAACTCCTGAGCTCAAGTGATCCCCCTGCCTCAGGCTCTCAAAGTCCTGGGATTATAGGTGTGAGCCACAGCAACCAGCCAAGAAAACAATATATTTTTTTATTAGTGTAAAGTGCCATGCAAATACAGAGGCTCATGCCTCTTCTTGTAATATTACTATTCCAAGACACACCCATATAGAAAAGCTGGAGTCACTACTGGGTGTCAGGACAGACCATGTGCATATGTATGTAGCGTGTACTTGTACATGCACAAAAAAAAGCTCTGGTAAAATGTAGGTTGAACTAGTGGGTGACAAATGGGGAGGGAGTGTGAGGTACAGAATTTTGGAGGAGTGAAAATGAGTGTGATAGGGGTTGTTAGTTGTCCCCCGTTCATCTGTTCTTTCTTCTATAGCAGTGGTTCTCAGCCTTAACCTACATGAAAATCACCAGACAGCCTTCAAAAAATGCAGAAGTCTAGGCCCTGCTCCCCAAATATTGTGATTGAATTGGCCTGTGGAGTGGGAGGTGTCTATTTGTTTAAGTTTTCCAGGTGATTCTGTTGTGCAGCCAAATTTGAAAACCACTATTCTATAACAGAGAAGTTTTAGCTGGGCACATTGCTATCCAACTGAGGACTGTATTTCCCAGTTTTGGCTATAGCTTAGTTTGGCCATGTATCTCAGTTCCAGTCATGGGCTGTGAGCAGAAGTGACATATGTGACTTCCATGTTGTGACCTTAAAAAAAGAAGCATGACCTCCCGCCCCTTCCTTCTTCCCATCTTCTTGCTAGTTAGAATGTGGACACAGTGGGGTAAATGGAAACAGCCACCTTGGACCAAGATGGAAGCCATGTGCTGAGAATTGCAGAGCCACAGAGAAAGAGCCTAAACTCATTGCTACACAGTCATCAGATCAACCCAGGATTGCTACCTTGCATATTATGACCTGAGAGATATGATTCTATCTTCTTTAAGCCTTTCTTGTTTCAACCTTTGTTATGGCAACCTAATGTCTGTACAAGAGGGCTTTCATTTCTTACTCCATTTGTTTCTGGGTTGTTTGAATGTTTTATAACATGTATAATTAGTTTTATAACTTGAAATTTATATGTAATCAGTATATGTTTATCTATAGGTAAAGATAGAGATATTTCAAGGGAAGTACTCATTCTTTAAAAAAAAAAAAAAAAGGAAAAAAAGGCTAAAATTAGGCTGGGCACAGTGGCTCACGCCTGTAATCCCAGCACTTTGGGAGACCAAGGCAGGTGAATCACGAGGTCAGGAGTTCGAGACCCTGGCCAACACAGTGAAACCCTGTCTCTACTAAAAATACAGTTGGGCATGGTGGCATAAGCCTGTAGTCCCAGCTACTTGGGAGGCTGAGGCAGAAGAATCACTTGAACCCAGGAGGCAGAGGTTGCAGTAAGCTGAGATTGTGCCACTGCACTCCAGCCTGGGCAACAGAGCAAGACTCCATCTCAAAAAAAAAAAAAGGCTAAAGTTTAAAAAAGAAAAAAAAGATACAGATATAGGTTGATATTGATAAATATGTATAAATAGAGACAAATTTTATATGTCTTGTCTACATCTATCTGTATAGCCTATAGAGATTTAGATAGGTAGATATAAAGTACAGTGGACCAATGACAGAGTCCTGATTTTAGTTTTCTGAAACATCAAAATATTTCCAATTATTTATACCTTCAGGCAAATTAAATTAAGGAATCTTTTTTTTTTTTTTTTTGAGATGGAGTTTTGCTCTTGTAGCCCAGGTTGGAGTGCAATGGCATGATCTCAGCTCACTGCAACCTCCACCTCCCAGTTCAAGTGATTCTCCTGCCTCAGCCTCCTGCATAGCTGGGATTACAGGCTCCCGCCACCACGCCCAGCTAATTTTTGTATTTTTAGTAGAGACAGGGTTTCTCCATGTTGGCCAGGCTAGCCTTGAACTCCTGACCTCAGGTGATTCACCTGCCTCGGCCTCCCAAAGTGCTGGAATTACAGGCATGAGCCACCACGACCGGCCCAAGAATCTTTGTTGAGGACTGGTCATGTTAAAGAAACTAAGGTGAAGCAAGTAAGTGTGTCATTGTTTTAAAAAGTACTACATTCACTTGTGAGTAGCAAATTAATTTCAACAAAACAATATCATCCACACTTTCGTGTAATACTGTTAATCTAAATTTCATTGGTTTGAAGGGTTTTTTTGTACTTAACTCAGTAAAATTTGTTTTGCTTTATATGTATACAAGCTTTAAGGAAAATAAAGTTAATTAATTAATTAATTATTTTTGAGACAGGGTCTCATTCTGTCACCCAGGCTGGAGTACAGTGGAATGATCTCAGTTCACTGCACCCTCCACCTCCTGGTCTCAAGAGAGCCTCCCACCTCAGCCTTCCAAGTATCTGGGACCGAAGATGCGCTCTGCCACATCTAGCTGATTTTGGGGGTTTTTTTAGTAGAGACAGGGTTTTGCCATTTTGGCCAGGCTGGTCTTGAACTCTTGGGCTCAAGTAATCTGCCTGCTGTGGCCTCCCAAAGTGCTGGGATTACCGGAGTTAGCCACAACCTGGTTGGAAAAATACATTTAAATTGGAGTTTTATATTTGTACATTTTAAGTATCTTTAACGTAAAATTTTTGTTTATATTTATTTATAATAAAATAGGTCTCGGCCTGGCACGGTGGCTCACGCCTGTAATCCCAGGACTTTGGGAGGCCAAAGCGGGCGGATCACAAGGTCAGGAGATCGAGGCCATCCTGGCTAATATAGTAAAACTCTGTCTCTACTAAAACTACAAAAAATTAGCTGGGTGTGGTGGCGGGCACCTGTAGTCTCAGCTACTCAGGAGGCTGAGGCAGGAGAATGGCATGAACCCAGGAGGCGGAGGTTGCAGTGAGCCAAGATTGTGCCACTGCACTCCAGCCTGGGTGACTGGAGTCAAGAAAAAAAAAAAAAGGTCTCAACCAAGGAGTTATGAGAATTTTAGTCCTTTAAAAGTTATCAGTAGATGACACAGTTTTAAGAATCTCTGCTTTTGAGGGAGATTTCCCCAAATTAAACAACCAAGTGAGGTCATGGAATAATACAGACTCAGGGTCAGAACAAGATTACAGTCTCAGCTTTCCCACAAAATGTCTTTGTGACCTTGAGCCAGTCTTTTCCACTCTCTGGGTTCAGTATCTTTACTGGCAAGTGAGAGTGTTGGACCCTATGATGTTTACAGATCATTCCAGCCCTGCCCTTCTGAAATCCTGGATTAGACAATATGGGATGAATTCCAAAACATTTGTGAAAAAAAAAACCTCTTAAATCCAAGTGTCACATTGCCCCCTTCTGGACCTTTGTAGTATCCACATGGATGAGATTGATAAAATCCATAAAAATAATAAAAACTCATAATAAATCACAAATGTAAAAAACCCATAATGAACCCTAGATGGACCTGTGAAATAGCATAGTCCAATTCCCTTTCTCCCCTGAGATAACCTAGAAAGTCACATTTGAAGGTGCTCTACTAGAAGTGTTAGAGGACAACCCAGGAAAGGAAAAAGGGCAAAGGGTAGTAAAGTTGTAGGAAACACAGGGATGTGGAAGGCGGGCTGAATTCAAGAGAGTTTTACACAGTTCTATCTCCAGCTATTCCCCCAGTATAAGAAATATTGTTAGCTATCTATTATCAAGTGCCTATTATGTGCCAAGAACCAATTCTTTTATTTTATTTTTTATTTGTATTTATTTATTTATTTATTTATTGAGACAGAGTCTTGCTCTGTCTCCAGGCTGGAGTGCAATGGCGCGATCTCGGCTCACCGAAACCACCACCTCCCAGGTTCAAGCAGTTCTCCTGCCGCTGCCTCCCAAGTAGCTGGGATTATAGGCATGCGCCACTACTCCCGGCTAGTTTTGCATTTTTAGTAGAAACAGGATTTCTCCATGTTGGTCAGGCTCGTCTTGAACTCCTGACCTCAGGGGATCCGCTTTCCTCAGCCTCTCAAAGTGCTGGGATTACAGATGCGAGCCACCATGCCCGATGAACAAGTTCTTTTAAAATCCTCCCAGCAACTCTTCCAGTCAGGCACGGATTATCTGTGCCCCAAATGGAAACTGCTTATTCTCACAATCTTGACTCTTTTCCACTCTGTCCAAGTCGTCCCCATACTGTGAGGACGGCTCCTGCCCCCACTGCCTTCTAGAGGCCTTCTTTGACTACTTCAGACTACTTTGACTACTACACTCACATTTCCCTCTGCTACTATCCTGTGCCACTTGAGATCTGTATCCCATAATCTGGTCCTTGATTTCATATCTTTCTAACTCATTTGTGTGAGTTAAGCCTCCTCACAAGCTGTTCTTGAGAGCAGGTTCCATGCACTGAGGGCTTCATCCACCCACTCTACCTGCCATCACAGGCATCATGCTGAGTGCATTATACTTGACACTCAGAAGATGACTTTATCTTCACTATGTCCTCCATCTAGTTCCTCTTTAGGAAAAACTACCATCCTT